TTCTTCTGTATCTTAGTCCATGCCGCTCTATCATTGCTTGTCCATATATGTATATATTCTTAAATCCCATTCCTTACTTTTTTGTGTGTATTGGGTATATGTTGTGAAATTGTTAGATATTACTGCACTGTCGGAGCTAGAAGCACAAGCATTTCGCTACACCCGCTATAACGTCTGCTAAACACGTGTATGTGACAAATAAAATGTGATCTCGCCACGGTATCTCTGTGCATTCAAATTGCCATCAATAAAATGCAATTGTTTTTGTTGTCCGTAACTTATGCCTGCCCATACCATAACCAAACCGCCATCATGGGGCACCCTGTTCACAACGTTGACATCAGCAAACAGCTCGCCCACACGACCCATACACGCTACGCTGTCTGCCATCTGCCCGGTACAGTTCAAACCAGGATTCATCCATGAAGAGCAACATTTCTCCAGCATGCCAGTGGCCATCGAAGGTGAGCATTTGCCCACTGAAGTCGGTGACGACACCGAACTGCAGTCAGGTGAAGACCCTGTTGAGGACGACGAGCACACAGATGAGCTTCCCCGAGACGGTTTGACAGTTTGTGCAGAAATTATTCGGTTGTGCAAACCCACAGTTTCATCAGCTGTCCGGGTGGCTGGTCTCAGACGATCCTGCAGGTGAAGAAGCCGGATGTGGAGGTCCTGGGCTGGTGTGGTTACATGTGGTCTGCGGTTGTGAGGCCGGTTGGACGTACTACCAAATTATCTAAAATGACGGAGGCGGCTTATGGTAGAGAAATCAACATTGAATTCTCTGGCAACAGATCTGGTGGACATTCCTGCAGTCAGCATACCAATTGCACACTCCCTCAAAACTTGAGACATCTGTGACATTTTAGTGGCCCCAGCACAAGGTGCACCTGTGTAATGATTATGCTGTTAAAATCAGCTTCTTGATATGCCACACCTATCAGGTGGATGGATTATCTTGGCAAAGGAGAAATGCTCACTAAAAGGGATGTAAACAAATTTATGCACAACATTTGAGAGAAATACGTTTTTTGTGCGTATGGAACATTTCCGGGATCTTTTATTTCAGCTCATGAAACATGAGACCAACACTTTACATGTTGCGTTTATATTTTTATTCAGTGTACATACAGTCAGGTCCAAAATTATTGGCGCCCTTGATAAATATGAGCAAAAAAATTATCTAAATTCAATATATTATATTGTTGCTAAATTATTTTGGGGAAATAATATTTTATTTTATACTAATACAATTGCTCAGAGAATGAGATTTTGTTTAACAAGTAATAAAACAAATTTGGGGCCAAATTCTTGCCACCCTTGTCTTCAATATCTCACCTTGCGAGGATAATGGCACTGAACCTTTTTCTAAAATGTTTTATTAGATTGGAGAACACATTGAGAGGGATCTTAGACCATTCCTCCATACATAATCTTTCCAGATCCTTGATATCCTTAGTCTGCGCATATGGACTGCCCTCTTCAATTCAAACCACAAGGTTTTCAATGGGGTTCAAGTCCGGCGACTGAGATGGCCCTCGCAAAATGTTGATTTTGTGGTCAATTAACAATTTATTTGTAGATTTTGATGTGTGCTTGGGGTTATTGTCTTGCTGGAAGATCCAATTGGAAGTTTCAGCCTTCTGGAAGAGGCAATAACGTTTTTGGCTCAAATTGAAATAATTGATGTTATGGGGATATTTTGCTTCCACTGGTCCTGGGGCTCTTGTTAAGGTCAACAGCATCATGAAGTACAATGTCATTTTAGCCTAAAACCTGGTTACCTCTGCCAGGATAAAGATATACAAAGCACACACATTGTCAACACTATGACCTCCCTCCTCTCCCCCTCTCTGTCTCTCACACACACACACACAATTTCTTAATAAATCACATAAAATATCTTGTTGAAGGACATGCCATTAATCTGCCCCCACTCTCTCTCAAACACACAAACATGTCTGTGTAAATACACATCATCATCACTCAACACCACATCCTCCCCACTCGCTCACTCTCCCCATCATACAAATATGATACACACAGTATAGTCCTGTATGCTACGTTATATTGTCAAAGTCAGAAGTGTTACAGATAGAAAAGGATTGTTCAGAACAGACATTCTCTAACTTGTAATAGGGAACAGTGTCAGCTCTACACATTACATTTCTACTAGCAACATCCTAAACATTGCAGCACCACAGAATACACCTAGTCCAACAATCTCAATTTAATGTCTAAAGATGTTGCAAGATCTGAGAGTTTCCTGTGAATTTTAAACTAGCCAGCTAACACAAATTAACCATATAATATATTTCAAATCATGAGTTACATTACAATACTTAATGAGGGATGGACACTAAAATAATTGCTTCACCGGTTGCATTCACTCATCTGTAGTGGGTGAATCTGTGTTGTAGTTATAGACACTATATATACACACACACAACCACAAAAGTATGTGGACACCCCTTCAAATTATAGCCAAACCCGTTGCTGACAGGTATATAAAATCGAACACAGCCATGCAATAACCATAGACAAACATTGGCAGTAGAAAGGCCTTACTGAAGAGCTCAGTGACTTTCAATGTGGCACCATCATAGGATGGCACCATTCCAACAAGTCAGTTCGTCAAATTTCTGCCCTGCTTGAGCTGCCCCGGTTAACTGTAAGTGCTGTTATTGTGAAGTTGAAACGTCTTGGAGCACAACGGCTCAGCCGAAGTGGTAGGCCACACAAGCTCACAGAACGGGACCGCCGAGTGCTGAAGCGTGTAGAAATTGTCTGTCCTCTGTTGCAACACTCACTACCGAGTTCCAAACTGCCGCTGGAAGCAACGTCAGCACAATAACTGTTTGTCGGGAGCGTCATGAAATGGGTTTCCATGGCCAAGCAGCCGCACACAAGCCTAAGATCACCATGTGCAATGCCAAGCGTTGGCTGGAGTGGTGTAAAGTTCGCCGCCATTGGACTCTGGAGCAGTGGAACGCATTCTCTGGAGTGATGAATCACGCTTCACCATCTGGCAGTCCGACGGACGAATCTGGGTTTGGCGGATGCCAGGAAAACGCTACCTGCCCCAATGCATAGAGCCAACTGTAAAGTTTGGTGGATAAATAATGTTCTGGGCTGTTTTCCATGGTTCGAGCTAGGCCCCTTAGTTCCAGTGAAGGGATATCTTAACGCTACAGCATACAATGACATTCTAGATGATTCTGTGCTTCCAACTTTGTGGCAACAGTTTAGGGAAGGCCCTTTCCTGTTTCAGCATGACAATGCCCCCGTGTACAAAGCGAGGTCCATACATAAATGGTTTGTCGAGATCAGTGTGGAAGAACTTGACTGGCCTGCACAGAGCCCTGGCCTCAACCCCATCGAACACCTTTGGGAGGAATTGGAACGCCGACTGCGAGCCAGGCCTCATCGCCCAACATCAGTGCCCGACCTCACTAATGCTCTTGTGGCTGAATGGAAGCAAGTCCCCGCAGCAATGTTCCAACATCTAGTGGAAAGCCTTCCCAGAAAAGTGGAGGCTGTTATGGCAGCAAAGGGGGGACCAACTCCATATTAATGCCCATTATTTTGGAATAAGATGTTCGAAGAGCAGGTGTCCACATACTTTTGGTCATGTATTGTAGTTACAGCTCCCCCTGAATATACTTACCTGGAATATAATGCAAATGTTACACATTGAAGACCAAACACTTTCATCACATATACTTGCACACACTCACTCAAGACAAGCACATGATTCTACTATGTTACTACACACACGGCAACACAAATTCTTATCACAGACAAACACACATAGCAACACAAATTCTCATTCCACACTCTAGCTCGCTTGAGTACAGAGGTAAGTGCACGAGTTGGGATATTAAAATGTCATGTTAATTAACAGAACACATGACAGTATTACAAAAGTTGATCTATAATGTTGAGTTAATTAAATGAGTTAATTAAATGCAAGAACCTTTACATATAAAAGGAAAAAGAATGAGAACTGTTAAATGACAAAATGTACAGTAGCCTATCGGTTCACACTAAACTCTAGTGTATTGATCAGAATATCCGATATATACGTATTTTGCCTTGTTGAGGATCAATACTTCTAATAGTGTTGTTCTGATACCAGTATCGCGATACTAGAATACCAGATTTTCCTTGGCAAAGAAGAAAACAAAGCAGACTCAACTCTATGGTCCTTTAAAACATATCTTTGTAAAATATTGTGTGCTACAGCTTGCAAATAAACAAATGTGACTCTGGGTGACAACGTAAGTCCGCTTTGTGTTCGGTTTCCTTTACTTCCTAGTGTCACCATACAGGTATCGTGACACCACTAACTCCTAAAGTAGAGTATGCGATACTGAAATAAAATACAGAAAATAATCTTACATTCAAAAATAATAGGCCTACATATACTGAATTGTAATGCTGTGTATGTTTTACACTGACAGGTTTTTGTCTCTCTGTTCTGAAAAATTAAGAGATTAATTGAGTTCACAATACTTTAAGGATGGTGGTGAGAAAATCCCAAAATATCTAAAAGGCAAGAGAGAGAAAGAGAGAGAGAGAGAGAGAGGCTACAAAATAGTTTTTTTTTTTTTACTTCAATCAACTTAGTATTCACAAATGGCATTTCACAGTTTTATTGCAGTTAGCCAAACAACTACTACAGGATGCAATGTACCTGAAATACATTCCATGGATGGGAGGAACCTAAAGTAAGCTAACATTGCAGAGGCAATGCAGGTCTTCCCCTTTTGTTACTACGAACTACTGAAAACAAATCACAGGATAGGACACTAATAGCAAAAAGCAAGAAATTACATAATCATACAGAAGTTTATAAGCCATCTACAGACCTGCCTACATCAAGATACATCACAGTTAATATTGGCCTAAAACCATCTACAGACCTGACTACATCAAGATACATCGCAATTGATATTGGCCTTTGGCGGCCATCATTGAAGATTTGTGTTTTTACATCAACATAGGTCCTGGCTCGTGCTATAAAAAGGTATTTTTTTCTCAGTCAACATTCGGGACACATGAAGAAGCTGAGGGAAATAATCAGCCCAAATTAAAAGAACAAAAACAAACATTTGACGAGAAAATAAAATCAGTTATTTTACATAATGAGAAAGGAAAAGCAAGAGATCCAAATATTGAGCCTTGGGGTACACCGTTTAAATTTTTGAAACGTAACACAATCAGTATCTACGACGTTTGTTGTTAGGCCCGTCATAGTTTCCCACAACGGGGATTCCCCTCCCGAAGCTTGCTGGCCCCCCCACTGCAGGCCCAGGCCCTGCCCCCATAAGCCCTGCCCCCACTGCCGGTTGCTGCTGAGGGGACTCCACCCCTGGACGGCCCCCCATGGGGGAAGAACCCATCTGATTAGGAGCCCCCTGGGGGAACCTATCGTTGCGCAGCTACAATATAAAGGGAAAGGGTTGGTGGAGATATTATGAGCAGTCCAGATGCAGAAGAATTGGATGGGATATTCAATAATAATGTTCGTTTTGGCGAGGCAATGAAGGCATTCCGAACGTCAAAGTAGGCAACCAGAGGAGTTCCAGGCAGAGTCAGAAGTGGGAGAGAGGAATCAGTCCATTAGTTATGGGTGCAGAGCTGATATAAGCTATGAGAATCCCTTTCCTAGCCCGCACTAACCTCCTGATGTGAACAGTGAAGTCAGGTGAGTACATTTAATTATTTTAACCTCAATTTGCAAATCACCACCACGAGATACTATGACATTATGATTAAAGATACTGCAATGGTAAGGGAAAAGATGCCAGAAAAGACCAGCTGGACAAGATATCTATTAAAATCAAGGTCACTGGCAAAACAACTTGGAATGTAATATCCATAAGCAGCATCTAAATAGCCTCTGGCATCTCCTCTCACCACTGGTTAAAACCTGAAAACTGATGCGAAAACAATACACTGCAGTTTCTATTCAGTACCAAGGGTTGAGAAGGTTAAGGAGAGCGAGATTTTGAGAGAGTGAGAGAAATTGAAAGAGGTTGAAAGAGAGTAAGCGCCCATCTAGGCGCATACATTACCATGGCTCCATTGTCTGGCATCATGTTTGGTGCGCCCATGTTTGGAGTTCCCTCGGGGCCCATGGCTCCGGCCCTTCCGCTCATGCCTATGCCCATCATTTGAGGGGGTCCCTGGTTAACACTGGCCCCGGCAACAGAGGCAGGGTTAAACCCATCTACACGCAAAACAACGTAGCATCGTTTGGTCACACTGGAAGTAAACCCCACCCATCACACCCTGTGTGCACTGTTTGTTGTTGTAGAGTGGTTGTAAAAATCTCTCAGGGCTGGCTAACGTTGGTTGTTGGTCACACAAACAGTGCCAATTATGTAGGTGTCAAATTTGTCATCTTCCTAGTTTGTGATAGGAAAAAAGAAGTCCAGATATTGAGCCTTGGGGGTAAACAATTCTGTGGTGAGATATCTATATATAAACTGAAAAAAATATATACGCAACATGTTAAGTGTTGCTCCCATGTTATATGGGGAGGGTTTCCTTTTATGAACTGTAACTCAGTAATATCTTTGAAATTGTTGCGTTTATATTTTTCTTTACTATATATATTATATAAAAAACATTGTTTAAAAAAAACATGCATAATTTGTTGATGATTTCATATTGCAGGTTAATCGGTCTACAGCACCTATAATCATTAGGCTACGCCTTAAATTGGTCAAGTTGTATTTATATACAAGCTGAACAACCAAAAACCAACGTTAGCAGATAGATAGATGCCTACAACATTGACTAATCACAGGTAATTGGGAACAGGAGCAGTGTATCATACCATTCAGTCAATAGAGTAAGAGTTCCCTTACAGCAAAATAGCAATTTGGGACAAGCTGTGAGAGGCCCTCAGATCGTCTGGTTGAATTTCCGATTTTAGGCGAAAGAACGCCATCGCCCAGTTCTGCTTCTAGGTTAAAAACCGTGACTGCACATCACCATTGCCAGATACTCAACCCCAGACCCAAATCCCAAACCCCATTCATGGCCATACAATACAGGTATTTGAGAACACCATAAAAGCATCAGTAGGTCAACATGTAATTCAAAATCGATAAAAAAATGTTTCCCATCAACTACAGATAGAAACACGAGTAAAGAGTTCATTATGCTTTCTAAGTACGGCATGAGACAGAGCTGTATTAGTTATGAATTGACCCCACCCACACAGACTGCTGGAAATGAAGAGATATATGTACAGAAATGATACTGCAAAAAGTCCCCCCCAAAATCAACTAAATAATCCACCATCCCATTGAACAATGCACACCATTACAGATGTAAGTAGTAGGCACACACACACACAATTAAAACAAAGGGATAGGTTTATTCTAAGCTTGTAGATAAGAACGTTTACCAAGTGTTGGGATTGATGGCTATTGCTGATACAATAAAATGTTTGCTAAAAACCCTCAAAGCTACAAATGTTGGTTCTGTTTGGGCCTCATCTATTGTTACAATCAGGTAACTTTCCACATGTGTGGCATGATAAATAAGTAGGTCTGTAGAAAGTGCAAAAGTGAAGTTACATACAATTATCATAAAATGTTAAGGACTAAAGTTAACAATGGTTTCCTTCAACCAGTTTACTAAATATCAAATGACCTGATAACGAAAAGATCATAAGTAGTGAAGTCATCATGAAAAATTCACGCAAAAAAAAAGTAGACATGACTTACTACGATTTGATGTACTCAGTTTCTCCACACAGAATCAGGGGTTAAAACAAAAATCCCATGACTAAAACTTAAATCTCAAATATATTTAAAAAAAAATTAAAAATAAGATATAACGGAAATCCTTCAAGTGATGGATAACTTTAACCCCTGCACAATTATTTCAGTCTCATAATCTCCAAAAACACACTCACACATATCTAAGCAGTGACAAACACAAAAACATAACTAATTAGTATGTTCTCTGACTACGCCACATGAGCATATTTTCCCCCGTAGTATCAGTACTTCAGTACACAGTTTGTAGGTGATGTGCAGCCCCGGGTTACATTCATGAAGTGGTGAAGGAGCCACCATGAGCCTCACACAGCCCATCCCGTTCAGAGCCTCACAATATATCCCTAGCCCTGCTCCTAGCCCTGTAATGTCTGCAGACCTGAAGGAACTAGCCAGGTGTACACAATATGGCGGTGGCCCCACCTAGCCTTCCAATGGGCTTAGGGGGAACTTCTGCCTTATGGCTAGAGCGGCAAAATTCCTGTAACTTTCCCCAATCCCAGGTTTTCCAGGAATCCCAGTCCCTAGGAATTTTGAGAAAGTTCCCAGAATTTCGCAACCCTAGCCATATGGCCAACACCTTCCCAGTTCCTTTAGATCTGTAGACACCAAAAGGGGTAGGGGCGAAGGTGAAAGTTGATGGTTGTTTATGGACCAGTCAGTGCTGAGTCATCATTATGACCCTACCTCCCATATTAATGGCTCCACGAGGGCCCAGTTCACCCATTCTCATTTCCTGTTCTCTCTGGAAGTGAAGAAGAGTGGTGCACCCGTAAACCTTGTGGACAATAACTACTAGGACCATTAGGACATGTGTGGGATGATTCCTCACACAGCACAACACTCACACAGATATACAAGTAACAGCCAGGGAATACGGTTAATAATGTTCTCACAACTGTGATAGAAAAAGTCCTGAAGGAGGCGTTACAAAAGCTATGTGTGGAATGATACTCTATTGGATATGTAAGAATTTAGTGAAAGAGGAGCAAATATGGAATGATCATCTGAGTTCCTAGGTTTGCTTAATTAATTACTTATTTGTCCAGTATGGATTCTCAAGGTCCATTTAAAAAGGTCAATATTGGTCTGTATGTGATGAGCATATAACTTAATTGGGGACAAGCCAAAATATAACATGGATTTAGTCCAAAGTTGATTAAACACTGAAGTGGCCGTGTTGAGGTAATTTAAGCCTAATAGAGAAATAAGGGTTACTGATAAATGTGAAAGAAAAGATTGAAAAGTAGATAAATCCCCTCCACACATTGATGTTCAGACGACCTAAACATTAGTACACAAAAATATATATGTAGACTACACAAACCCCCAAATGAAGCTGTACTAAGCACACACATTATCAACACATTGACCTCCCCTCTCTCCCACACACACACACTCACTCATTCACATAAAATATCTTATCATAAAGGACATGCCATAAACCTGCCCCCGCTTTCTCTTATAAATAATAAATATAAATACACACATATCTGTAAGTACACATCATTATCACTCAACAGCCCCCCCGGCGCTCACACACAAAAATAAGTAAGTACACTCAACATCCTCTCAACTGTCTCACTCAATCATACAAATATGATACACACAGTATAGTCCTGTATGCTACGTTATATTGTCAAAGTCAGAAGTGTTACAGATAGAAAAGGATTGTTCAGAACAGACATTCTCTAACTTGTAATAGGGAACAGTGTCAGCTCTACACATTACATTTCTACTAGCAACATTCTAAACATTGCAGCACCACAGAATACACCTAGTCCAACAATCTCAATTTAATGTCTAAAGATGTTGCAAGATCTGAGAGTTTCCTGTGAATTTAAAACTAGCCAGCTAACACAAATTAAACATGGGTAAATAGTAAATATATCATATATTCCATATTAATACACTATATTTCAAATCATGAGTTACATTTAAATAGTTAATGAGGGATGGACACTAAAAACGAAATCCTTCACCGGTTGCATCCACTCATCTGTGGTGGGTGAATCTGTGTTCTAGTTATATAGTTACATCTCCACCGAAATATACTTACCTGGAATATAATGCAAATGTTCCACATTGAAGATCAAACCCTTTCATCACACGTGCTGCACACAACACTCACGACAAGCACATCATCTAGTTTGTTAGTACACACACACACACACACATTCTCATCACAGACAAACACACACGGCAACAAATTATTTCTCTCTCTCTCTCTCTCTCACACACACACACTCTCTCTCTCACACACACACTCTCTCACACACACTCTCTCTCACACACACACTCTCTCTCACACACGCACTCTCACACACACACACTCTCTCACACACACACACACTCTCTCTCACACACACACTCTCTCTCACACACACTCTCTCCCTCTCTCTGTTGAGTACAGAGGTAAGTGCAGTATGGGACATTAAAATGTCATGTTAATTAACATGACACACAACAGTATTACAAAAGTTTGTTGTCTATAATGTCGAGTTAATTAAATGCAAGGAACTTTAAATATAAGGAAAAATAATGAACTGTTAAACGAGAAACAAAACGTACAGTATATTTTTGAATTTAATCTAGTGTATTGATCAGATTATGATATAGGTATTTTGCCTGGAACAATTTCCGCACAAATGTTTATGGATCAATACTCCCTAAAGTAGTATGCGCTACTACAAAAATAAAATAACACTTAAAAGCAACTAGAAGGTCATTTTCCATTAACAAAAACCGTGGGACTTGCATTACCTCTTTAAAAGGATTTTTGTGGTAGTTGAAGAAATGTAAAACGTTTTACTTAAGTGAAGCGAATAATTATAGCCAAAGTTAAATATTAAAACATCTGGTCTGATTACTTTGATAGACAACTATAAAAACCTTATTACTTTGGAGTGTGGGGGAGTTAGATCACATATTTCATTACAAATACACTCAGACTACTACACTTTTACTCATAAGGAATTAGAAAAGTTTTAAGCTATAATTTGGGGAGAGGAATATGATGGTGCACCTAGTGGTACAAGTTTAGAAGTTTGTTAGTGTTGGAAATTTGAGTCTGGTGTAGTAGAGGGGGTGACTGATTTATAAATAGTGGACAGTAGCCTTCAGGGGGAGACTATGTAGTAGTAAATAGCCCAGAAGTACTAGTAGCAGTAGTCTACATTGCAGTAGTAAGTGCCTGTTTTAGATAGGTAAGCCATGGGTTAGCTAGAGTAAGCGTTATAATTTGATTGGTAGAAGATATTTCTGTTCTGATTTCAGATTTGAAAAGCAGACTAAAATTTAATACAGTTATGTAAGTGGTTGGGAAAGTGGTCAAAAGTTTGTAAAAGTGAAGAGAGTAGTTGATGCTGTTACTAAAACAGCTGTATCGTTTGATTGGTAGAAGATAATTCAGTTCCGATTTGAATAGCAGAGAAGACCAATATTTCATCTCCTCTAGGTTGTCTAACTTG